ACCTATATAGCATTTGATATCGAAGAGATGTCATTTGCAAGCTGTTTTATCAGTATGACCGTTGTTGCTGTTTTACTTATGATGCACCTTAGAAATCTGAGGTCATTTCAGTTCACCAAGAAAAACTTAGAAGCTGTTGAAAAACAATGAAGAATGTAAAGATGAACGAGTTCGGTGTGGCTATGACATCCTAGTCTGCTAGCGAAGGTCCACAATAATGGCGATAAACTAAGATCTCTTTCCCTTCCGCTCCAAATACAGAATAACAAGAAGCGAAGGGGAAAATAAATTTTTAGCTACCTACCTTCATTAGTAATGTTCAACCCACATCGCTTTTTGCACATTCGCGAGATAGCGCCGATGGATTCTGGAAGGAAATGGTAAAGAACAGGATGTGAAGCCTACACAGCACGAATACTGACAACTGAACAGCGAAGATACATCTTATGTGCCGAGAACAATAAAAAAGAAAAACCTACTCGAGAACAACTCAACGGAACCCTGTTCAGAAAGAATAGCAGAGAAACGCATCAGTGGAAATCGTGAGAATAGAGCAGACTAAAATAAAGGATAAAGCTCTCGGCGTTGATCAATGCCTGAGGGTTCGCCATGCATTCGATTTCACTAAGCATCGTTGGAGGTGGTCAAATGAATACCTCTCTTTTACAATGACCGGCGGTGGCCTATCGATGTATCGAGCCAGTACTGCGATCGTCCCAGGCAAGCCTGGTACCAATTTGCCAAATCCGTAGGGATGGAAGGCATGGTGAGCCTGAGCGCAGAGATCCCATGTGTATTGCAGGGCGCCTCCGACCACTGCGTTACACATCCCCTCGTAGATTGAAATAATAAACAGGAAAGCATAGCGAATAATAAGCGCAATAGGTAGGCACACACACAACAAATATGCAGTCACTTTATTCACTATTAATTCAAAATAATCTCAACCGCAACGAGACTCTTCAACATCAAGAGATAGTCCAGAGTTCTGGAAAAGTTTTGGATGAGAGATGGTGCGCTATTTCCAGGAAAAGAGCACTGGATTCAAATACTACCGTTATTGTAAATTCGGAGAAACGTCTCTGAGAAAACGGAGACTTCATCAAACTGATACGCCTCGACGTATCCGAACCATCGCAGCTTCGTTCCAGCCAAAGTCGAACAGTTGGACACCGGGAGCAAATCCGAGACAGAAACGGCACAGTTGTCCATTCTCCTGATGAATCGTCAAGCCGAGAGGCGACATGGTTCACATATATCACCTCAAAAGAGTCCGAACACTTATTAGACCTTGTAATAAGTTAAGAATTCTAAAAACTTGAGCAAAACAATGCCTGTCATTAGACGACTTACAGCGACGTCATGATGAACAGCAATGTTTGTCAGCATTGTCAAAACTCTATCCCATTTCTGAAAGTCTTCTTTACCGAGATATCCACGGAAAACAGTCGCAATCGAATCGATGATGAGTACGGATGTCTGGAATGAAACCTCACTTACGATCAAACTTATTACTGTTAAAAGAAAGCACTTTAAGAACGGTAAACAAGCGCAAAAGATATAACCATATACATTCTTACGAGCTATTTTTGTTCAGCTGATGCGAGGTTGGAATAAGTGGTTGTTGTTATTGTTTTTGTTGTTGTTGTTGTTACTGTTGTTGTTGTTGCTGTTGTTATTGCCGCTGCTGCTGTTGTTCGATGGCTGATGTCTAGGCAATTTCGCCTTCTTCAGATCCTGGACGTATTTCATTACCAACCAAGCATCAGCTCATCAAAGGCAGTTACATACTTACTAGGATGCTTGGATAGCCCGTCTTCACTGCTTATGCGAGCCTCAGCATAATTTCCATTTTTTTCGGAGTTTTGCTAGTATGGCCATTGCCACCATGCAACTAGTTTGATATAAAGACATTGGTGGATCCTGGTATTGGTTTACTCTTAGCTGGGCTTCCTGGTGGAAAGGCGGAACTCCTTGTCTACATTGCAGCCCGACACCCAGGAACACCTTCCAGCCACGATGACGCGGTAGCCGTTGGGAAGAACAAAAGCAGTTTATAAGAATACAGATGTAGATTATTTATGCCCAGGTCTATAGAAAGTCGGTTGTTTGGATTATTAAGCCCAAATGGGCTACCGAACTATGAGATTCTTATAGAATGAGATACCTCTTTCAGCTGAGTCGCTGAATGTTCGAGTTCAGTCAACAAGTGCAGTAACTGTTCCACAGTGTTCGGTGACGATATCAAAAGTCGTTGCATTGCATTCTCAACATTATTTGTGTGATATCTCAACATCTGGAATGAATTGAAAACAATTCATAAGAATATTAGAATAACGGCAAAAACTATGGAAACGAAAACGCTCTCTTTGCAAGAGTTAACATACTTTTGCTAAACAGAATGAAATATGGAACAAACACTAACCTGATGCACTCTTTTGACTGAAAAACCACGTTCCGTCTCGACACAAATGACCTTGAGTCCTCTAGCGATAGCTACGGCCGTAAGTTGCATACTAAAACAGTTTACAAGAACATAAAAATAAAGAATAAAGCTCTTGACGTTGATCAATCGCTGAGTGATGCGCCATGCATTCGACTTCATTAAGCATTGTTGGATGTGATTGAGTGCGTATCTGGCCTTTACAATGACTCGCGGTGGCCTAATGATGTATCGAATCAGTGCTACTATCCTCCCAGACAAGTCCGATGCCAATTTGCTAACCCCGGAGAGATGGAGGGCTTCGTGGGCAGGGATCGATCTCATGTGTATTGCAGGGCGCTTTCGACTATTGCGCTACACGAGCCTCTTACTAGCACATATGATATAAAGACCATTAGAGTAAATATGAAACGTTCGATAAGTGAGTTAACATGTGAGTCAAGAAGAACCCAAAAATCTGGAACTAACCATATCTGTGATTTGCCGCATCCAGCTTCGCCAGAGATCTCTGTCGTTGTTCCCGGCAGAAAACCACCACCTTACAAGTACTTCTATGAATGATTAAGCTAGATACAACAGGACATCTTATTTGTATGAAGAATTAAGGTATACAAAACAAGATATCTACTTTGTACAAGCAGTCTTCTCATGTCCATCAATTCTTAGCCTAACCGAGTCTTCATAACCCTAACGACAGTTTCTTTAGAGCCACACAGATCATCCTTCGCGATATGAAGAACTTACCCATTAAATTGTCCAGTAATTTGCAACCTGAAGACAAAGATGCTGAACTCGACGACTCGAACTCGAGGAGCTCACGAGCAGATTTGATGCTAATCGATCTTTTCCCAGACATTTGGCTTAAAACACTTCAAATCTGCACATGGGACAAACGTAAGTTATTGCTTTGTATCCGATGCGTATTAAAACGGAATCAACCAAGGTCTCTACAAAGAGTACTCAGGGAGCATTATTATAGTACATAACTAGTAGTCTCCATATGGAATACTTTCCCAAAGAGTTCAGGACAAAACATAACCAATTTTCCTTACAAAACGTTAAGTATCTTGGACACAGAAAACGTCCCTCTTCACGCCTACATTTCGCGAGCATCGGCGTTTGTCTCCTAATTCCTCCATTACGTACGTGTGAGTCACGTGTGCCCCACACTGACCGCGATCGCGATCGCCCTCCTAAGAGAGGAACACCAAGATCCCCATCAGCAACAGTCTTTACTACCCAACATAAACCGTAACTAAGGAAATGTCGCGTGACCCATAAAAGCAGAGGGACTCGTCCCGTCTCGTTCTTTGCAAATTCTAATGTGGATGGAAATGTTTCGTGGTCGCCTACCAAATCTGTGGTGAGAGGCTGTTAGCATGATATAGAAAACATAAGTAGCAAAAAGAATGAACTACAAAAAGAAGCACCGAAATAAACACAATTCGAGCCATACATCAAATGGAATGTCCATCTATGAGTCCTATACAATTCATGGAGCCTGGAATGTGTTCAGTTAAACTACCTCAGTCATTGAGTGGGTCGCATCGTAAGCGCCCCATATGATTGCTAATGTGCCAATTCAGCAAAACCACCTCTTCCCGGAATCTCAGAACATGCTGTGGTACTTCCAGAAGTCCTTTAAAACACAGTCACCGTACCTCGTGGATCTGAACTATGAACCTCAAGCACGTTGCCACCAGATCAACGTATTTGTTTATTTTTGCCAGCAGGGCTGTGGATAGCAATATCGAATTAGTGCTTAATATAGGAGACACAACTAAAGAAGAACCCTCTAACTTAGTGACTGGAAACCCAGGAATACTGGCCGGCACAGATGAGGCCGTAAAAAATGGTGCTTGAAGAAAATAGACGAATAAATTCAATGCACAATGAGCAGACAACATAAAATTCTATGCTTGCCACAGCCCTTGCGCCATTTCAACAATACATTGTATAACAGTAACATAAAAATAGAAATGACGATGTAAAAGTAAAAATTTTATACAACATGGCAGTATAATATGGCAATAGAATACAAGGCAACGGTTGAATTACAAGGAAAATACAGCAAACTGACTAGTCAGTGGGCCGATCGCTAGTGTAACATATATTTACTTATGTGTTCTTATGAACCGAATTTCTTGGGCCGATTCGAGGCTAGTAGAGTTGTCGTTGTTGGTTGATGGCAGTGGGAGTGCAGTCCCACTCGTAACAGCATGGCTCTGAGGAAGGCAAAATCGCCGAAACTTCAGCCGTCGACCAACAACAACAACAGCGACAACGACAACGACAACGACAACCACATCGACCTCGCATCGACTCAAGAAATCAGTTCATAAAAACATATAAATAAATATACCGATTATTTATGCCGAGGTTTATAGAAGGTTGGTTTTTTCAATTAATGTGACATGCAAAGCAGATCCAAGAATTATGCAAGATCATCAGCTTTCTCGGTCACGTGCGACACCTTAGTGCATTAAAGCAGAAGCCATAGGTTATATATAGATGTTGACATAACACAAGAGCACTGTATCCGCGCACAGACGACTCTTCACGATGCGCACTGTGGTTGATTCATCTTGCGAGACAGCTTTCTATCCTTATTTCGCTTTGGTGGCACTGATCCTGTCGTCACCTCCTCAAAAGGAACATTACCATTTAATATTTTCTTTTATTTATTCGGTTAACGTTCCGACCCCTTTGTCTTCCTCGGACCCAGAATGATATCATTCCATTGCCTACAACCACTCAGTCATCCGAAGTAGGTCTTCGTGATCCCATCAAATCGAATACAGAGAAGCGGGAGCACCACTCGAATAAATTAACTTCACTCTTTTTTGAAAGAAGAACTATGTCGAATGAGGTTACTTCATTTGAGCGATGCTCTACTGGATTCCACTCGGTGCGATCACGAGGATCCATAGTGGAAGAGTGAACGCCTGTCGACAATCGACGCAGATCAATCCGGTCTGAGGAACACGATAGTATAACTACTACAATGCTGAGATATTTGCAAAACTCCGAACCGCAGATATCTGCGGTGGGGAAGGAACGCGTCATTGTCCTTTCAATGGAGTAACGCGTTCACCACCACACCATGCGGGTCCCTCGTTTCGCCTATCTCTCAGCTAGATATATCAATCAGCACCATCAGCAATCACCCGTCAGCGGGATTGATCTGGTGGGCCCAAATTGGCATTGAACCCAGTTAAGCCGAGGATACAGTTATAATCACAATCTTAACCTTTTTATTCACTGCCTATTCTTTTTAACGGCAAGGTATTTTGCGAAATATAACTACTATAATGCTGAGATATTTGCAAAACTCCGGACCGCAGGTCTCTGCGGTGGAGAACGAGCGCGCTATTGTACTTTCCGGAAATACCCTGCCGTTAAAAAAATAGATAGTAAATAGAAAGGTTGAAAACACCATAGTGTTGAAATTTTAGTCGAATTAAAATTGTGTATACGAAGTTGAAATGCTCAGCAATCGAATAAAGGATACATTTAAAAAATCAATGGTTACACTTACCGATTACATCACACTACCATTAAGCATTTGGTTTGATTTTCAAACTATACCAGTAAGTATAGTAAGCAACGAACCTGACGCCCATAGAAGTACTTGTATTGATCACTTCTAATGAAATCCATCACACCTTGTGCACCTCTTGCATCGAACTGCTCCTGTAATTATGACGATATTTAAGGAGAATGAGATGAACAAAGACAATCATCATGAGGATGTGAAGTCTCCTTTTCCTTCCTTTCACTGTTTTCCATCCATATTATTAACAACCCTCCCAAGGGTTTACCGCTCATCGTGGCTGGGAGGTATTCTTGGATGTCGGACTGCAATGTATAGCGGAGGGATTCGTCTCCCCAGCAGGGTCTCACAAGCTGGGGAGACCGGCGTTTCCATCAGGAAGTCTAGCTAAGAGTAAACCAATATCAGGATCCACCATTGTGCTGGTATCAAAGTCGCATGGTGGCAAATATCCCTTTATTCCACAAGGGCTGCGGCTGCCTGTGGTGGTGAAGACCTGGGCGGACTTTGTCCAGGCTGATCTCGGGATTCCAGGGAACCACAATGGCTTAACCAGCAAATCTCCGAAAAATGTTGGGGCCACCACAAGCAGTAAGGACGGACCGTTCAAGTATCAAGTATGAAGTATTATTAAGAACGAACACCTCCCTGCTGAAACCAAATGAGGCGTATATAATCATGCAATCCCGAAAACTATGGTAGACATTCGAGAAAGGACGATTCGTATTGTTAGAAATAGAAAAAATATGTGACATAAATCATCGCTTTAAGCCTTTTCCAGCAAAAAAAAACAAGTACCGTTTGAGTCATGAACAGCATTTGTTTTACTTCGCCGATACAGAAACCAAGGAAAGCTAGAGAGCTTATCTATTTGTGCACAAGAGATTTCTTAGTATCGGAAGAAATTCGAAATTCGTTTCGTTCGAAGGCGTTCAAAGGGAAAATTATTGTAAAGTGTAGATATAGTCCTTCCCAAACCGCACCCGATACAACATCTCTGGTAGGATACGTAGGAAAGCTAGCGATTGAAGGAAAATATGGCAGAAAAATCCTTGGGTAGTAAAAGAAAATCAGAAGAAGCTGGAAAGAAAATATAACGGATGAGTAGTACAGGATCGTGAATGTATTTCATGTAAAGCTGAAGACGTAGATCCAAGAGACAGAAGCGTGGGATTCAAAAAAAACTTATCTGTAATTGCTGCGAATTGCTCTACTCAGTGAATCGCGACTTTTGGAAAAATGTCACGTAACATTACGCTTTTTCAGTTATATGCGATGCACATAAGCACGAAACGCCCACTCAAATATGAGCCCACCAACTTCTTGTACTCTTCGCTCGGTTTTTCTGTGAATTCTTAATATTTTATGCCCTTTTTCCTCACATACCAGCCATGTCTTTATAGGAATTTTTCTATCTTTCCACATTTCTGCTTATTATAAGTATCGAAAATTACTCATTCACAACGCTATCAACCTCTGCTAGTTACTCTCACATCTACATGAACGGTCCTGCTGTTGTTCGTCTAAGGGCTTGTTGATTTGTTCTAGCAGCAGCAAGAGCATAGTGATTAACCTTCAGAATCATCGTGCACAAATTCATCAACTAAGACGGTGGCCTTCTACTCTGGCTCACAAAATTTTCGATATTGGGGGACGCAAAATCTCTGACTATCGATATGTCTTCACTTCAGACTTCTTTCTTCGTTGTTTAAGTTTCAGGATACCGGTAGAAATACGGTGCCTAAAGTGCTTCGGATAACGCTTTGTAATCTAGGAAGCCCTCCCGTAAGATAAAACCGGAAGAGTAGTAAAATCGAACAGGTACAGGACTCAGTTGCTTTTCGTAATCTTCACAACACGCTCGGTGTTCTCATAACTTCCTGAGTCTTTCCACAAAAGTTGTCAAAATCGTCCACTATTCCACCCGGCTAGTGGTTGAAAGGATATAACAGAGCGAATGCAGTGCAGGCGACGATCACCGAGTCATCGAGTTATTGTAAACTCTTGTTGTCCCATACCAGTTCTCACACGACTTTTCGAGAGTGGCCGTAGATAATTTTGGCGAAAAGTACTGCCTTGTCGAAACTCATATATCAATGGTAACACCACAGCAGTATGATGTAATTCTGCTTGTCAAGTTATAATATAGCTCAAAAGGAGCTTTACTTACTGAGAAGGAACACCCTAGCTGTGCACAGCTTCCATGACCTCTTGTGTCTCAAATGAGTCGGTCTTTTTAAGTTGACAAAAGTGGTCTTGTACTCTCGTTATATTACAGAGTTTCGATAATGTGCAAATGTGATCTACTTATAGAAAACATTTTTCGTAAATGTGGAATGTTCTCTACCCATCAAATTGCTTAGTCGTATCATAAGGGCAATACCCTTTGTAAACTTTCCCATGAAGGTCTAATGAGCTGTACGTAAAACCATTCGCTAACTGTTATCTCATGTAGACGCTCGCAGCTACAGTGTTATATGTTGCACCTCGCCTTATCAGATTGTACTGTCTGAGAAACTTCCCAACACCTCTTAGCAAACTATGTCTTCATCTATTCTAGCCTCACCACACCCATCATTCAACGAATATATGCAGCCCATCAATTAGCTTTCTCAGTGCTTATCCAGTGTTCATCCAGCCCGTTCATCTCGTTGAATTCGTCCATATATTTCACTCCACTGTTACTGTTGTTATTGTTACTACAACCTTAAAAGTTTCAACCCAGTGTCTGAAGGCGTTTGACTCGGCGACTTACACACAAAAGACCCGCGTGGCAGCTACAAGGACTAATATTCACAACGATTTGGTATTCATATAAAGTTGAGAGCTCGACGCCACAACACTACTACCCGTAATCGTTTTCGAATGTCTGCTTCCCCGCATGACTTTCCTTCGTCCAAGGTTCTGTGAACAGTTTTGGGGAAAACTCTAGCAGACGACAGACACTAAGTGAATTGGGCCATAATTGTCAAAGTTGTGTGATGTGAAAATGCTTCCTGCTTATTCAACGAAATGATCGATTTGGTCTTCTCTTGATGAAAAAGCGATTCTGAAAGGTAGCGTGTGAACACTCCGCCTGTTACTTTTTGACACCGAAGGGCTATTATGTTAGCTTTGCCGGCGTTGTGGATACACAGCCTAACCTTTGTGGTGGTGACTGCTTATGACACGCATGATTCCACGTTGTCGTACCAGCTCCATTCTTTCTAGAAACAGATGACTCTTGGTGGTTTTCAAATTCTCGGTTTTCCGCCACTAATATGAAAGTCTTCGAACGCTCGTTTTCTTCATCTACATTTTCGACCCCTCTCACGGCATCCTCTCAAAAAAGGGCTAATAACTTGAGCAAATCTCAATCTACAACGGTTTTTGGATTTTGTTTCGTGGATTTTGAAACCCTTCTGGGAAAAAGGAAATGTGTGCAAAAGAAGCGATGCTGTGATCCAGTATAAAATTTTTCCGTAACAGCGATATCATTTGTGTAAAAAAACCTTTAATTCTTTTGTAATGTGGCCCATTCCATTATGGCGCCCTCCAGTCCAACCTCCAACTTTGAGAGCAGTGCTTCGTGATCACTGCCAGCTAATGAATACGTTGCTGCCAGAAGGGTAGTGATTTCCCTATCTACGCTAAGCTGGTAAAGCAAGTAAATCAGAGGTATATTAATAATATGTTCTTCATTGATGGTCCTTCTGAGTGTACCTACTCAGTTGACGAACTCAAAGTATAAGTATTGGAAAAAATCCGAAATAAGACATAGCGTATATGTTCAGTACTCGAAAGTTCTACCCATGTATGATTATTGTTCTTCAGCAGGCTTGGGTTTTTTGACTGGGGTCTCTTATTCTCTATCAAGTTTGAAAGCCATTTAAGAAGCAACGTGACTTTGACTTTGACCCATTCAAAATTTTTTGCCTTCGTTCCAAAAATTCATGCGTCAAATGTAATGTGCTTGAATACACGCCCACCCATAGAACTTCATTAACAACTGAGCGTCTTCGCTCGGTACATATCATTTGGTTTCTAACGTTAGTTACGTAACACATACTGTTAATGTACTAACTCATCGTCTAATTGTCAAACCTTTGTTGGTCCAAAGAGATCGAAGGTTTTAAGCCGTCACAAAAAGTCCCACCTGGATAACATAAACCACATATTTTTTTAAAAAAGGTAACTCATATTGTATGAAAAGCGAGCGAAGCTAAAGATTCTAATATAGAGATTTCCACAACAATATTCACTTATTACGAATAAATTATCGAGGGTTTGAATTACTTTAGTTCTGTCGAGACACCTACCTGTATACTCGCTACCCATGGATTGTATTCCAATCTGAACACTTGCTTGTTTCCTATTAAATCTAGCGCTCCAAGTTCAGGAGGCAGCACGGTGAGCCTATTACCTGGAACCTTTCCATAAATTTTCATGCTATTCAGAGATGATATGGATTACACATTAATATATAGAGAATACGACTACTATTCATTTCACTGCTTTGAAGCTCAAAAGACTGACTTTCCATAAACTTTTTTTTTCTTAAAGCATTTAAAAAATAAATGTGTAAATCTCAAGAACCGCTCTTGCTGAGCTTACACGAGGTTGGTATCAGTTGTTTTTGTTGTGCTTCGATGACTAACGCACCGGTAGCTTCGCTTTCTTCACAGACTGGACATATTCCATTTAACGCTGTCCTTGTTATTCGGTGGATTATCTATTGTGGCACCAATAATGATCTGTGGACGCCGTTATGTTAAAAACCACATCGTTTTGTAAAGTGTGAGACGCATAACGTTGATGAATTTTGAAATGACTTTAACGATTCTGGTGGAGGAATCAAAAGCGTCAACGCATAACACTCTTGAAGTGTTTTAGAGAAATTTCATAAATCCAAAAATGAGTTGGAAATAAGGATGCTTAACTATTGTACGTGAGATAACGACCTGGTACCTGTTCAAAGACTCACTTCTGGATTTGGATGGGCTTCACTCATCATCCAACGTGAATAAAATGCAGGTGGTCTGACGTCTTACAAAACAGTGATTAGTTTTCAACAATGTAGTGTCCATAGATCCTCATTAGTACTATAGATAATCCATTGAAGAATATTGCTGCCGTTACATACAATAAGCCCAGCCGATGAAGGAGAAATCGCCGAAACATCAGTCATCGAATCACAACAACAACAACTGATACCAACCTCGCTTCAGCTCAACAAAGGCAGTTCGTAAGATTTACATAAATTTAAGATTGAAAACCGTTGCAAACAACTACAAGTTTGCGTTTAGCAGTAAGCTTTTGTTATTTCTACAACGTCAACTTAGAAGTGGCATATTATAAAACCGTCAAGTTAATATGAGTAAACGCATTGGAGCACACTGACCTTGAATATGCAGTTCTTTAAGATTAGTCAAATGGCCAATTTCTCGTGGAATTGTTAGCAAATCGTTGTCACGGAGAACGAGTATCTGAATATCGTCTTTGTAATTCCTCCCATATTTATATAACACTAATTTAACACCAATGATGCCGAGATATTTGTAAAACTCCGGACCGCAGGTGTATGCGGTGGTGAACGAACACGCGCTGTTGTCCTTACCGGGGAGCAGCGCACTTCACCACCACACTATCCGGGTCCTTCGTTTTGCCTGTCTCTCAGCTAGTTCTATCGATCTATCATCGAGTTCCATCGATTGTGATTATAACTGCGGCCTCAGCTTAAATGGGTTCGTTGCCGATTTGGACCCCCAGATCAATCCCGTTGACGGGTGATTCCTGATGGCAAAAGATCGATAGAACTAGCTGAGAGACAGGCAAAACGAAGGACCCGGATGGTGTGGTGGTGAAGTGCGCTACTCCCCGGTAAGGACAATAGCGCGTTCGTTCCCCACCGCATAAACCTGCGGTCCGTAGTTTTGCAAATATTTCAGCATCATTGAAGTTATATTTCACAATGTATACCCTGCCGTTAAAAAGAATGAGCAGTAAATAATACGTTAAATACTAATTTAGCACTTTGAAAACTCCGAGAACGCTCAAAGTACCTGAAGGTTACGAAGATTCATCACATCTCCAGGAAGCATCTCAAAGTCGTTATCACCCAGGTAGAGCGCTCGCAAAGTCTCTGAAATTAAGGAAGTGGTTTTATCAGGAATAGTGGAATATGCATATGCAGGACAACGAAGAAAATCTTTGTTGGATTTTTAGAATTTCCAAAATTAATTCCAGAGCATGTATTCATTACGAAATAGACTATGATCACGCAAATATAAGCTCAACTAATCACAGAAATTTCTTCGAAAATAATACCAAATGGCTGTAATTATTGGTCCAGGAGAAAAAAGAAAATAATGGCCGATTCTGAACAACAACTTTCAAATGTCGTAACAAATCTCGGATACAACTTTATTAATCGGAAGAGGAACCTGAACGTACAGAATGCTCTTCCAAACAAGAAGCAATTTTGTTCAAAATTTTTATTCCGGTAGCTTGGAATTAAGGAATTTTGGATGCAACGAATTCTCCAGTGACACTTCCAGCAACGGTTAGGTTGTTGGAGAGTTTCTGAGTCAGTACTTCTCGGGATGCTTGAAAAAATGGCAGTGGGTTAGCATGAGGTCTGATGAGTATGGTTAGTGAGGCAGAGACACGTAACCCAACCCATTCAACTTTTGAAGCCTTGGTTGTTCAAAATAAAGTCGAGCACCGCATCGTGAAAGGACAATCCTTTCTGCCCACGTCAGAATATATTTGGTGAAATGTTTGTAAGATATCATCAACTTCATGATATTGACTCGCACCTGTGATCTCGTTTCTCCAATATTAAAGACTCTGTGTTACACGATCCTGCCTGTCGACAAAGAAAAAGTCATCATAACCACCTTCTAACGTAAACTAAGCTGCGGACAGTCTCTACCTCTAAAGTTGTTTTGGAGTAGCAGATTCAATTGTTGGTTTCACACAGTCGTTGTCACTGCCTGAAGGCGTCCACGACATTCCGTCACCAAGTCTCACATATTGGTAGAAAACCTTACGAGCACTACGGGTACGGAAGCCCTTCCCTAACCCATGCTTTCACGAATTTTCAAGTCGCCATCACTGCCTCACGTTCAAGTCTAGCCATATTAAGCAAAACCAGGGGATTTTCATCTTTCAGAGCATCGTTTTAGTTTAAATTCATTGCAAAATAAGTGTTAGAAAAAGAATTACATAGGAAGAGTCAACCTAGTCAGGAGATTTCTCTTTTTCCATTTTTCAGAAAGGAGATTTCCAGTTTTCCTTCTTTCGAAAATAGAATTTTTAGAATTTCCAACGCAAAAGTGGTTGCAGCAAAAAACTGGAGATGTATGAAGAACATCATCACGTCCTGCGTGAAATCCCAGTTATTTGCTTTTCTGTCTAATATACGAGCACCAAGAAAAATCCAAGAATAAGTTCCGTGACCTCCACAAAATCAGAAAGTTTTTTTGGTAGAGTAAGAAGTTCTATTCTTTTTAAGCAACCTATACATAAATATACATAAATGTGTATATATATAAGGATAAAAAGGATAAAGCGTTCGGCATTGGTGAATCCTTGACAAATGTGCCGTGGACTCGACTTCAATAAGCACCGTTCAACACAAGTTAATGGATATCTAGTCTACAAAGAGATTAGTGGTGGTCTAGTGATGTGTGAGCTCAAAGTTTGTATTCTCCCAAACAAATCTAGTATTAAATTCTCGAACTTTGCGAGGTGAAAAGCATGGTGAGTTTAGGGCGCATCTTGGAAACAATGACCAAATGTGTATTACAGAGCACTTCTAACCAATGCGCTACACACACCCAAATATATATACATATGCATATATAAATCAGGGTTTAGAGAATATCATATGTACATGTAAATAAAATAACAATGTCGAAAAGTATTACATGCAACTTATTTATTCATCCACATAATTATTTACATACAATATCACTTTTACCTTTTTCAAAGTTTCACGACGACAAGTACGACCATCACTTTACAAGCCAAAGCATAACTATTGGAGATATCCGCTAAGAGGACGGGAATGGTTCTTACCTTTCGAAAAAGTACGATATTAACAAGTACTATCAATGGAAAAAAAACTCACCGATAAAAAAGAAATTTCCAGGAAGACTCCTCTCATTCAAATTGTTATACGTCAAGTCGAGGATTTCCAGAGATTTAAACGACCCAAAACCACGAGGAAGGACATTGAGGCGGTTCATGCTAAATGAAAGCATCCCAAGTAATGGGTAGAAACCTCTACAAACAAGAGCACAGTATGCATAATGTGTACGAATGTAGAGTACTCCTATACAATTACCAGAAAATTTCTGGAAACTGACCCCACGTTCAGAATGCGGAGCTTGGAAAGGCTCGAAATCGACGACGGTAGTTCATCGATCTGGTTATTCCACAATGTCAGAATCTGAACCAAAACTCCCTCGTGAGAAAATCTACCAATATGATATGATCTCATCAAACGATTACAGGAAAAAATAGCTACTACATAAGTTCAATCTCTTGAGCCTCGAATAATCCCTTACCTGCACTTTTCTAATGGTTTCTTTTTTGTTTTCTTAAATTAGTTTTGATTTGAAGTCAGGAGATGTCTCTTTTCCATTTCTCAGAAAGGAAATTTCCAGTTTTTCCTTCTTTGGAAAACAGAACTTTTAAAATTCCCAACGCAAAAGCGGTAGCAGCAAAAAACTGGAGATGTACTGAGGAACACCATCACGTCCTTCTGCACGTTGTTTAACTGCTTTCATGTCTGATATACGAGCACCAAGAAAACCCCAAGAATAAGTTCCGTGATCTCCAGAAAATCAGAAAGTTTTCTTAGTAGAGTACGAAGTTCTATTTTTTTAAGCCACCTGTCGTCACATCTATGCATATCCCTGCACTTTCTCCCATTTCGATTCGCTTCCTGGTTTCCACAATTCACAGTGGTCTTCGAACTTCTCTGACTATGGGTTAGACTGCTGCCTGAGGATTTCCCGTCTTCCTTCGTCCAATGTGGTTGAATGCTGATCGAATCGATGCTTCCTGGAATCTTGGGATAGCTGTGTTAGGCCATTCCCATGTTTACCATTAGATGGAGTAGTCAGATCAGAGCTAAGTCTGGTACTAGTTTCCGACCTCTCCTCCCGGAGAGATGTGAAGCAGTCCAGTCGAACCATAGTCTTCTTGGGTTAGATCTACAGCGTAATGAACGGCATCACCACCACAGCATATCTCAGTTCATACAAAATTTTTCCAGTTGGAATAAAAATCTTTAGAATCTACAAATTCTTGCCATCAACAGACAATCTCCTATCCTTCAATGACGAAATTTTGATTTTCTGGAAAACCTCACGTATATTCATTAACCCTTGTTTAGCGTCTGAGCTCGTATTTCGAACACAGAAGCAAATGCACGAGCTACATTCCACTCAGCAGAAAACTATAGTGTTCACGAATATACCACTTATAACTCGTATGAAATGCTGAGATATTTGCAAAACTCCGGACCACAGGTGTATGCAGTGGGGAACGAACACGTGCTGTTGTCCTTACCGGGGAGCAGCGCACTTCACCACTACACCATATCTCGGCATTTCATACGAGTTATAATTCGAAACATAACCTGCCATTAAGAAGAAAAAGGCAGTAAATAAAAGAGTTAAGATTGTAATTTTCTTCGCATTTTTGTTGAGCAAACGCGATGTGTTATTATTCTTTGTTCACGATTAAGCTGACGTTTCGGCGGATTTCGCCTTCCTCAGAGCCGCTTCCTATGAGGTATCCACTAAGTATGTCACGTAAAGACCACGTAATGTGCAGTATAATGTGCAGTATAATGTGCACATTATACTTCCATGTGATTTCTGTGCGGTTGGTCTTTACATGACATACTTAGTGGAAACCTCATAGAAAGCGGTGAGTGTGCAAAGCTGTGTTCAAAGTGATTGAAATCTTGATTTGGAGTTTCTTTGTTTGGTTATGGAGGCGTCTGGCCGAGTGAGTTGCTATCAACTTGACCTTTCCAGGCTCTGAGGAAGGCGAAATTCGCCGAAACGTCAGCTTAATCGTGAACAAAGAATAATAACACCTCGCGTTTGCTCAACAAAAATACGAAGAAAATTACTTGACCAGTGCCGAGGTTAATAGAAAGTCGGTCGTGGCAGTTAAGATTGTGACTATACCACTTATGGTTGCTGCTACCGTTTCTGCGTTGGAAATTTCGAAGATACTGGTTGTTGTCCTCCAATTTTCTTGAGGATTCCCAGTCTAGATATATATAAAACCTAATGAATACTTTTACAAAGTTATATAATTACGGCGATACAGCATAGCCTGTTCTATCAATTGTGAAATTTTCAACTCTTCAAATACTTTGATGACCGAGAAATGATCGCCAGTTGCTGAAAAACCAACCATGGGCGCTATGTGTTAATTTAAGGTTCCTACCAATCGAGATACGTTTGGTTTAAGGGTTTATCAATTTATGGACAAGCCATCTCCTACATTAGAGAAAACTTCATTCCAGCTAACCTGCAAATTCTCCAAGTCTGCGATGTTTGGTGGTATGGAAGTGAGCTTGTTATGACTAAGCGTCAACCTTGTCAGATAGGTCATCTCAACTGAAGTACGGAAAAAACTCTGGATAAAAGGAAACTAGTTGGTGATGGTTACTGAACAGAGAATGAAGAAATTGATCCCTCAAATGAAACACAAGGAAAAGAGAGCTCCCTGAAACTAACACAGTCGAGGGATGCCATTTAATGAAGTAAGATTTCGATCCACATGATCCAATTCGGTGTTTGACTCGTCTCTTCTTTTGTCTTTCGGCATTCTCCTTCCTTTAAATAAACTGTTAAGCAAATAAACAAGTAGGTAGGTAAGTCAAGAAGCCAACCTTATACGAAAATCATTAAGTCGAAATTAACGCGTATAAATGCAATCCTACAGATTTGAGTCACATATCTCGAAGTTCTTTTATAAAGGACAAATAGCCACAGAACACAGCACATGAGGCAATGCTTCCGTACTAATGATCATGGACGAAATTGAAAGAAAAATATATACGTACCCACATATACTTTAACAGGTGATACAGATGAAAGGGGGATTCATCTCCACGGCAAGATCTCCCAAGCTGAGGAGTCCGGCGCTTCTATCACGAAACCTAACTGAGAGTAAACTAATACCAGGACCCATCGCCGTCCTTGTATCAAATTAGTCGCATGGTGGCAAATCTCCCTCTTATGCACAAGGGCGGTTAATGCCCGCAGTGGTGACGACCTGGGACAGACCTTGGCTAGGCTGACCTAGGTCTTCAAGGAACTACAATAGCTAAAACCAGCAAAACTCCAAAAAAGTGGAAATTATGCTGAGGCCTGTACAACCAGTGAAGACGGACCATCCAAGTATCCAAGTAATATATATATACATATATATATATTCATGTAAAGCCTCCCAACAATTTGCCGCCTCATCGCGGCCGGGAGGTGTTCCTGGGTGTCGAATTGCGATGTACAGAGGGGACTCATCCCCTGGCAGGGTCTTCCAAGGTGAGAAGTCCGGCGTCTCCATCAGGGAGCCAAGCCAAGAGTAAAGCAATACCAGGATCTACCACCGTCCTGCTATCAAAGTCGCATAGTGGTAAATCTCCCTCTGATCCACAAGGACTGCGACTGCCTGTGGTGGTGAAGACCTGAGGCAGACTTTGGTCAGGCTGATCTCGGGATTCCAGAGAAACATAATGGCTTAACCAGCAAATCTCCGAAAAATGGAGGTGTTATGCTGGGGTCCGCACAACCAGTGAGGATGGGCCATTTAAGTATCAAGTATTCATGTAAAGTGATATACTTATATTCGATGTAGTCCAATATTTATGAAAGCGAAAAATGAGAAAAAAGAACTTGTGGCGAATCTGTGTTGATGTAGTCTATTTGGATAGAAGGCTTTGATTGAGGTGATCCCAGCGCGACCAGCTTCTACCTATTGTCTCACATTGTTCAGCCTGTATAGTACACAACCGAACGCATTGATATCAATGCATGCGCGAGAGCTGGTAGAATAAGCCGCCCTTGTTGATTCCAATACATTTTCTTTACAGATACTTATTTCGCCATAAACTTTTCCTATAAATAAATGATATTCAACAGACAGTTTATCTAATAGAAGCTGCGGACAAATTTAGACCGAGAAAACTTATTTCCTACATCTAATAATTTACAAGGAAATGTCTTTGTACGAGTTCTTCTTTCTAGAGTTGAGACTATTTCCCGTAAAGAACATGTACAATGTTATCGCCTGCCACAGATTGTTGATTGATTCTCCACAGTGTATTTTAGACAGCATCACAGGTTCTCAACCCCGCTGAGTTCAAATATTAGTGGAAATAGAAACTATATGTAAAAAAAAGAACAAAGCTCTCGACGTTGATCTATTCCTGAAGGGTTCGCCATGCATTCGACTTCATTAAGTGTCGTTGGAGGTGAATGAATGCATATCTGGCCTTTACAATGACTCGCGGTGGCCTACCGATGTATCGAGCCAGTGCTGGTATCCTCCCAGACAAGTCTGGTGCCAATTTGCCAATCCCGGAGGAATGGAAGGCTTGGTGAGCTTGGAGCGCGATGGTCGATCACATTTGTGTCGCAGTGCACCTCCGTCCGTTGCGTTGCACGCGCTCTCAGAAACTGTAAAATTGGTAAACTGGACTCAACATATGTTGTAAAGCTGACTACTAAAGGAGGTTAGCATTGTGATGGGAAGCAGCGTGAGTCTTCCTTCACCAAATAGAAAAGTTGCAACCGCTCCAAAAACATGGAAAGTTACACGGAAAAACGCAGAGAACAAATAGAACATAAAAAGTCTCCAAAATAAGCGAAAATACATGGAAAAACCCAATTACAGAGCGAGAAAGACAAAAAATGTACAAGGATATCTTCTGTGGAGGAAAATGGACTGGTACCACTTGAGCTCAATGCATATAGTAGCAAAAAATTGCCGTGGTCATATATCTTAGATACAGCGCTACCTTTACCAGATAAATTGCTAGAGAAACTTCTTATTGAGGAGATACTAAGAAAATATTACAGACTACATTGACCGTAGCTAAGAGAACATTTGTATCTTATAGCACTTAAAAACGTATAGAGACAGTTTACATAGGCAGAATAACTTCCATTATAATACCATTTGAAAGTTCGTGTGCAAATAATCTCCACTACATGGCCCAAATATGTCGGCCACTCACACACTTTCGCGCTGAAACCGAATTCTCCACCGTGTGCCGTATGAGTAGAAAGTGTCTCATGCCGGCCAAAGCGTTTGTACACAAAATCTGGCTCTTTGTTGTATTTCTCACTCACTCATTCAGGTCCTTTATGCATTGTATTTCGTACATGTGTGCTTTTTGTATTTGTATTTCATCGATAGTTTAAAGGTCTTTATTTTCAAAACAACCTCTATGTTGTTCTATGCATTTTATCATGAATCTAGAACATCTCAATCTCTGTTCTGGCCTACTGATGACTTTAGATAAGGTTTGTATAAATCTTTGTCATGGCTAACGTTTCAGAGGATTCGTCTTCATCCACGATGGTTTGACTTGAGCGTTCACATTAGTTGTTTTTTCTTGTAATGAAGGTCTGCTTCGTCATTACAGTAAGTCAAACCTAGTAGATTGTAGCTCTTCACTTATGAATTAGCGTCACAAAGCACTGCAGTTTTACACAGGACCCAAGCAGCGCTGAAGTGATCTGGCCTCACCCTCATCTTGGCCGTGATGAAAACGAAAAAACTCCACCTTCCACTTACGGTAATGAGTGTGGATCGCTTAACGTATAAAGAACATATAACAGTGTCTTTAAATATTTAATTTAAAAAACACAACAGCCAATTCTGTACGATAATTGACTTCACAACATTGATGCAGAAGGAAAAAACGACTAAATGATATTCACGAAGTAAACATAGATTGCACTAGCTGAGAGACAGGCGAAACGAAGGACCCGCACGGTGTGGTGGTGAACGTGTTACTCCCCGGAAAGGACAATAGCGCGTTCGTTCCCCAACATAGACACCTGCGGTCCAGAGTTTTGCAAATATCTCAACAACGTTCTGCCTATATTTCGCTTAGTACCTACCGTGAAAATTGTAGTGGGCAGAAAATAAAACGCAAAGCACTAAACATTGTTTTCAATTATGGTAATAATATACTTGGATGTTTGGATGGACCGTCCTCACAGGTTGTGTGGACCTCAGATTAACTTTCATTTTTTCAGAATTTTGCTAGTTCAGCCACTGTGATTCCCTGGAGTCCCAAGGCCAGCCAGTCCAAAGTTTGCCCCAGGTCGCCACCACCACAGGCAGTCGCCGCCTTTGCGGATCAGAGGGAGGTTTCCCATCACGCGACAAGTGTGATACCGGAACTGTGGTGAACATCGCTATTGGCTTACTCTTAGCCGGGCTTCTCAGCTTGGGAGACCCTGCCAGGGAATGAATCCCCCGCTATACATCGCAGTCCGACACCCTGGAACACCTCCAGAACAAAATGAGGTGGTAAACCATAGGGAGGTACAATAAATCTCCACGTATAAATCTCTTACCATTTCTATACACGCTGTTGATAAAAAAGCGAGTATTATAGAGTTGGATCATGACAGTTCAAGACGAATTTAGCTTCATCTGCCATCAACTCTTCATGGAGACTGGAAAGGAGCAAGCTGGAAACAGTACGCAATAGGTTCTTCGAAAATCAATTTCCGACCAAGCCAATGGCTTTAACAAAGTGATCTGGAAGATGAGGACTAAGGCGATAATGAGTGGCAGAAAGCGGCCAAGCAACGTGATAGCCTCTGGATCCTCGACGGCAACCAATATCGTGTGGATCAACAATTTCCGTTGGAATTTAGAGAACCAGTACATTTTTATTGTAGTCATGAACCTCATGATACGCTTTACACTATGATGGGAAGCACTTGTACACCGACGATTAGCACCATGTGGGTCTGTCTCAGTGGATGAAAGATTTCTCGAAAGGAAATCTCTGTCTGATCTGATCCTGACTCTTCGATTTTTTTTTATTTGATTCTGAATTTGATTGGCACAAGAAAACAAAATAAGAGAAAACTGAAGGCCATGCGGAGTCGCAGCGATATCATTTTGTTCATGTGGAAAGATAACAGGGACTCCTGTTAAGGCACTATATGAAATGTGAGCCCACGTTCCACGACGCGTTTCTTCCCACTGGGATATTGAAAACACAAGTTGTCGAAAATCATAGAAAGTTCTCTAGGGGGGCGTATATTCACCGCATGCCAAAAACACTAGCACGCGGTATATACATTTTCCTCCGAATGAGTTCAAGGTCCTAGTGCTTTTGAGTTTGATTCCAATGGATACAACGACTGCAGGTCTACGAAGAAAGATGTTACAACGGATATTATGAGTGCTACTATGCCAGCAAAATGTATTGAAGAAGTGAGAGATAGACTTCTTGATATTTGATAATTGAATGGCCCATCTTCACTGGTTGTGCGGGCCCAGCAAAATCACCATTTTTCGGAGATTTGTTGGTTAAGCCCTTGCGTTCCCTGGAACCCTGAGGTCAGCCTGGCCAAAGTCTGTCCCAGGTCTCCACCACCACAGATAGTCGCAGCATCCGTGGATCAGAGGGAGTTTTGTCACTATGCGACTTTGATACCAGGACAGAGGGTCGATCTTGGTATTGATTTACTACTCTTAGCCAGGCTTCCTGATGGAAAAGCCGGACTCCCTCTCAGCTTGGCGGACCCTTCCGCGGAGACGAATCCCTCCGCTGTACATTGCAGTCCAACACG